CATAGACTTTCCTACTTCTCTGGAGGCCTAAAATTTCATCTTTCTGAGTTTCTGATAAATTAGCGAATATCTAACTTTGGAATATTTTGAAAATCTCTCCAATATTAGATATTCATTTCTGTAAAATTCAAATCATATTCCACTTTCTTTTTTTTCTTCTGTATTTTAGGGAAGGGTTCACAGGGTTTTCAGGGGTCTCACTATTAGATCAGACTCATAGTGATTCTCCTATTAACAGCCTCCCAAGTTCTGGGATTACAGGTGTGCACCACCATGGCCAGTCTCAAACACCATCTCTGCATGCACAGGGGGCAGGTCTGACATGGCAGGCTCAAGGATCGAACCCCCGGACCCTGTGCCTGCTTGCAGGTGCTTTAATCCACTGAGCTGTTTGGCCTTCCTGACTTTCTGAGATCACAAAAGCAAAGGTGACTAATAATCTCTAGAGCAAAACAAGCATGCCATAAATCTTTCCCCTCCTACATAAATACAAGTTGGGTATAGCAGGAAGTGTTTGTGTCAGTGGGAGAATATCTGGAGGAATTGAGAGTTGTTTTGGATCTCTGAATTGATTCTGGTGAGAACCAGTTGTTAAAAAAAAGTGACCCTCCTCCCTGGGTCAATTTGTGGGTTCTGGTCTGGTGATGTGCTATCTCCCTCCCTGAAGCTCTCCTTCAGCTATCATGTCATCCACCATGCTGTCCTTACCAAAGCTTATGCCAGTGCCATGCCCTGGACCCTGCAGAACTTTCAGGTAAATAAACCTCTTTTCTGCATAAAGCTACATAGCCTCAGGTATTTCATCATAACAAAAATAAACTGAGACCGTATCTTAAGGTGAAAGGCAAAATTTGTGTTGGTGTAACACTGGTAATTAAATTCTGTAATTCACATGACTTCTCCCAATTCATTTCTTAGAAGAAGTAATAGAATTCCATGCAATGAATACAGTGGATAGGAACCACTTATAAGGCATTGCCTCACGTCTTCCTAGGAAAGAAATAACTAGAAAGACTTGATTGACAGTTCAGATAAACACCTAGCTATTGAGCCAGTTGTATAGACACATGAATACCTGAAGTCTCCCAGAGCTTCGGCCACATCCGGACTCGGATGTAATATGGGTATAACAGCAGCAATTTTGAAGCTGTAGAAGGAACGAGACCGACCAAGCATAAATGCGTGTGGGTGTTGATGCTGCTCAGTAAGTGAACTATGCCTAATGGCAAAGAGTTTTGTTTTCTGTCAACCTTCATCTATGACTCTGGGCTTTCACTCAGTACCTCTGCCAGGACAATCCATTAATTTCTAGCAGACAGTCTTACTGAACAACCTGCTCAGTGGCCTCATTGTGCTTCATAAAGCAAAAGTCTTTACCATCATGTAACTTCGTGAGGAGGCTGTGCTTCCCAAGTGGAGCACAAATGCTTTAATCTTTCTTTCTCTGTCTTCTCAAGTACTTGCCTAACAAATCTGCTTTGTATTTTGTGTATAGCTAGTGTCACTGTGGAAATCTCATGAACTTTAAGATTTCTGATTCAACTTAGAATGAATTCAGGGCATGAGTATTTAGTAGCTGATTTTTAGTGGACCTCATGATTGCCAGATGGATATTTTTGGCCACCTTCATATTTGATGCTGTGATCATTAAATCTAATTAACTTTATCAATAACTGATGCAATCATTACTAAAATCCACATATTGTCTTTGCAACATTGCCAGCATGGGATGGATTATAGCGTGTTTGTAGCCTTCTTGGACTCTCCCTGCTAGCCTCTAGTAATACTGACAGTGGTAAAAAGAAAGACTCATTAGACTATAAAATAGTCCTAGAATTATAAAAATCAGACTTGGATGAGTACCACTACTATAGGCCATGAGGAAGCTTCAGTTTTTCAAATTAATTCCTTTTTAAGTCACAACTTAAAGATACTGAATCTACCCTTCATATGTTATAGTTAACATGCAATTATATATTATGTAAGAATATTATATAGTTGTTGTCCTGGTAATATATATTTTTTCTATAATATAAAACCTGGAAGAATAGTATTATGGAACAGTGAACTCTCTCAAGAATTAGATACATACAATAGAGAGGCAGTTAGAGCATGCTGAGTATTTCATACATAAATGATACTAATACACTTTGAGAGCATACATTTTTCCATGAAATAGTTTCTGCACTTGTGTGCACATGAATAATGCCACATTCTTGAACATTATTTGTCCTATTCAAATATTTATGTTGTACCTCGAGATCTTCTTGGAGTTTTTGTTTGTTTGTTTTAATTTATTGGGAATTTTTCTTTCTAGGTAATGAAGAATACCGTGCTTTCTTCCAATTGTTATGAACTACTTATAAAGAAGTCTGAATTAATGAGCTTTTGTTATGGTTGAAGATGTACTGAAGACTGGTATCAGACGATCTTCAGATTCCGAACCCATAGCGATTATGCTTGCATCTCCAGAGGTGTCAACCTGGATTAGCTTTACTAAGAACACCTCCACAGGCTACTCACTGTGGCTTCAACATGACAACACAAAAACATCTTCATTCTACCTACCTTATTGTAAACTTAAGCATTCTGAAAATAGAATCCAATTACTGCTCAAAGCTATATCCAGTGAATAAAACACAGAGTATAGGTCCTGTAGTTATTTATTTATTTGATTCAGGGTCTCACTATACAGTTCAGAGTCATAGTGCTCCTCCTTTCTCAGGATGCCTACTTCTGGGAGCACAGGTGTCTTACACCACACCCAGTTCTGGGGCCTGCTCTGCACACCTGGAGGTTCTGTTCCTGGCCTAGCCTGTAGTACCAAGGGTCAAACTCAGGACATTGTGCTTGCCAGGCAGGCACTTGTGTCACCAAGCTATCTCCCCAGCCCCTAGGTCATGTGTTTAAATGCATTTCTGGTTTCTTTGTCCCAGAGGTGTTTCATTACCGTTAAATTAAATTACACTAATCAATTGCATAATTGTGTGTTCTATGAAGATTTCGTTAATAGTGAGGCTGATTTTGGGGCTGTCTTAAATGGACACACTTTCTTAAGTCATTCTTGTCAAAGATAAGAATGGCTTCACAATAAAATACATGCCTTATGAAAGTAGGTACATGTATGTGGAGATGCTTACAAGGATGTTCTTTGAGTGAGACTTGATTTCTCAGATTCTGGGCCTGAAGAATGTTGTAAAACTTTTTCCTTTCATACTTTTCTGCTTGAATCACTTATTTGCTACCATTTTTTAATCCAAATTTTTAGATGTTCTGAAAAACACCTAAATTACAGAAAATCTAAAAATTTGGTTTTGTGCTTTCTGATCCTCAACTTTTTATAAATATGCAATTTCTCAGAGTAGCCATTCAGGAGTGAAATATATTTGATATTTGAAAGTACTACATATAATAATAAATTGATAAATTATTCTTGTGTTTTTATCTAAATATTGATATTTATTTATTTAAATTTATGTATTTGGTACAGGGTCTCACTACACAGCTTGGACTCATACTGATCCTCCTCTTTAAAGTCTTCCCAGTGCTGGGATGACAGGAGTGCGCCACCACACCTGGACTTGTTTGCCTGCTCAGCATGCCTGGGGTCAGGGGCAACATGGCATGTGGTACTGGGGATTGAACACTGGTTCCTGCACTTGCCTAAGCAGGTGCTTAGTCCACTGAGCCATCTCGCCAGCCCTTAAATGTTGATTTGCCAACTTTTAATAGAAAGATTTTCAACATAGTATATACTGTCATACTATTCAGCAAGTTTACCAAGCCTCTTCCTTAAGATTAAATATATATATATATATATATATATAGTTTGTGAGCAGCAGCTATTGTGAGATAGTTTTTTCTTCAAGAAATTTTATAATTAAGTAGAGATAAATCATTGAAAATTAAGTTATAAATAATATAAGATGTATTTATATATACAAATACATTATAAAATGAATTTTAAGAGAGTGTGACATTGACTTAAGTCATTATTGATGTTTAAATATATACAGGTACAAAATCTTGATTCTTACAGTTTTTCTTTTTTCAACTAAGAGTTCTAAACAAATCCACAAACTAAATGCATACCAAACCAGGAAACCAATGAAATGCATTTAAAGTTAATTTTAATATGGTATGTTGTTTTATTCCACTAATACTTAAAAATCAACGTTCACACAGGTCCTCAGAGGTAGTTATGCATTACGGCTTGAGTGTCTCCTCCACAACTCATTTAGAAACTTGGCCTCCCTCCTAACAGTGCTGAGAGGTGGGACCCAAAAGAGGTTAAAAGGTTGGGAGTAGCACCCTCAGGAATGATCATGGCCATTATCTTGGGGGTGCCTTAGTGACCGGCTTAGTAAGTTCTTTAGTGAAGGGATGCATTTGACCTAATTTTCTCTCTGTCTGAAATGAGTTCATCCTTCCAGTGTGAAGTGATACAGCACAAAGGTCTCTGATAAGGACACCATACTTCTGGATATCTCAGCAGACAGAAACATGAGATGAATTGCCCAGTCTGTGGTATCCTAGTATAGAAGCAGAAAACATTAAATATACTTCTGTATGTAAATATCATATATATATATATATATATTCACTCTAAGACTCCATTTGCTACTGTGGAATTATTGAGCCTCATATTTCATCTAAACTTGGCATCTAAGCAATCTCCAGACACCAGTTTTAACGACTCATTTGATATATCTTGTGCCCTCAAATATAATGTTGAGTTACTGCATTATTGATAATGGGATTAAATGGGCCTTTAATTCAATTGTTTCTGAAACTGGGCAAAGAAAAATCCTTCATTGTCTTTTTAGCTTCATACCTGCTACTAATGAAGTGGCTCATGATGTAATACATAAAAACATGATCCATTCAATACCTCAGTCCTCAAGCTGAGTACAATATCCATCTTTAACATATCTCTTTTCTAAACAGTGAACTCACATGAAACTCGGACTTATTGTCAGTTTAATGTGTCAAAAAGGAAGATACAAATTATAGAACTGAAATTAAGAGGCAGAACATAAGTTCCTTATAGTCCAGAAGATGCTTAGGCTGTTTTGTTTATAAAATCATTTTTAAAAATTACAAAGTAATTGAACAGGATTGAAGCTTCCAGAAAAATGTGTCTGCGCAATTATTTTGAAAAATTCTGGTTTGGAAATACACAGAGATTGAAAACTCCATTCCTTTTCCTCCATCCATTCAAAACATGTGCTAAGTGGCTCTTAGGTCCTGTGAGTGGTCGGTGTTGGACAAAGGGGATGAACTGGTTCTAAGCGCTCCTGAAACTCACAGCTTAATAAGTGCAGACAGCCATGTGGTAGGGGAGAAATTAGACTCTGTCACTTACCTTGCGACTTGGGATAAGCAATTAAATGCTCTGTGTCTCAACTCACTGAACTATAAAATGAGGGTGCTACCTGCTTTACTCATCCAGTGATAGCAGTTACAGCCTTCCCATCTTGGAGGAAAGGGAACCATTATCAGTCACATTTACTTATGTTGAATTAGATCAAATTCAAGATAACTACTAGTAAAACCATTTCCAAAATATATCAGCTTGATCGTGCTACACCATTACAGTCAGCTACATTAATAATTTTACAGTTATAATCCCCATTGAAACTACACTGTTTGAACCCTAAATCCAAAATAATGATTCCAATGACATTATTATGCCCATTATTGAAATCAGTCATGTCTGGAGTGTGACATGGCATCTGTCTAGCAGCTGTCTGAAGTACTACAAATAGAGATGGTAAGGGAAGAGCAACTTCTTCGACTGGGATTTCAAGGGAATGTTCAGGAGAAGGAGCACATGGCTTCCTGGCTTGGACCGCTGCCAGGATCATTAGAATTAACAACCCTCCTGCCCTGGTGGAACGCACCATGGGCGCTTTCATGATCATCTTGCCTTGCCATCTGAAAGACGTCATCTCTGACAGCCCGTACAGTGCAGCACACAAGGAGTTAGCAGGGTAGTAAATCATCACAAACCCTTTCCGCAGGAGAAGTTTTCTGTGGTCCTTTCAGGGTGGAAAACAAAGAGTTTGAACTGATGATGCCCTGAGCTGCCTTTTCCTTCAAGGCCACTTCCCTTGGCATTCGTGAATTTGTGCTTAGGGACTGCTAGTTTTAATACTAGCTTAGGAAAGTATAATTAGAAAGGTAAATCTACTGCAGAGAGAAAATTAAATTATATCTGTTCTTTTTTAAATGTATGCTTCCTTTAACTATGTGCCTCAAGTCATGTCCTTTCTGCCATACTGATCAGCACATAGTAGGTTTACAGTGAATAGATGAATGTATTAATATTCAAGATAGGCAGAAGATGAACTACAAGAAACCACAAGTATTAAACTGCCTGAAATCACTTTTGGTTCAAGACAGTTTTATCTCTCTCTCTCTCTCTCTCTCTCTCTCTCTCTATATATATATATATATATATATATATATATATATAATATATATATATTATATATATATAATTTCAAAATATATTTTGCCAAACTTAAATACATACATTATTACATACATTATTTTTGACTGCAACACTAAGATACATTTTTCAAAGAAAATTTAAACCTATAAAAAGTCAGAACGACATAGATCAATATCTATCAATCATCAATCAATTATCAATTTCCACTGTAAGATGAACATTTTGATGTGTTTTCCCATCATATATATATATATATATATATATATATACACACATATAGATAGATAGATAGATAGTATAATATACACATCTTTGGAATTGTATTAGAATGTTGTGGTTTATTGCAGTATTTTTTTGTTATTCTATCCCAATACTAACACAACTGGAGCCTATTCTTAATGAGAAATAAGGGAAATATTTTCTAGAATGAGTCCAGTACATACATTAAATTAAATTAAATGTTTAATATAAAAGCAAATTAGCATATTGTATCTTTAAGAAAAGTCTACTAAGCCAATTTAATCTTGGGTCAACACAATTTATCAAGAAGGGGCATGCAAGAATAAAATCACTACGTGACGCTTCCCCCTTTTAGTATAAAAGATTGTTCATTTGTGTTCCTTTTTATTCAACATCATTCATTGGGGTTTGTCGAATGAAGCACATCTGGCTGGAAACCTTATTTAAAAATTTGGGAAAAGAAATGGAGAAAAGTGTAATGATATTAATGTGTTTCATTAATTGTAGGGAGTGTAACCTCATTTGCTCAATTGTCCTGGGGATTTTGCTGCTCCTTTAAATGGAGAGCCCCTGGGGCATTGGGAAACAAGGGTCTTAATGTTTAAAACAGCTTCTAGTTCAGAGACAGAAAGTCATGTTCCAAAGAATGCAGCGTTTCTGCTTTGCCCATTTAAAGCTGGACAAAATGTAGCACAGCCCAAGAATGCGAGGGAACTGGAAACAGCTGTGAAATCCTGGGAAAAAAGGAGGCCGAGTTAAAATGGAATTTTCGATAACCACGTCAGCATTATCTTTCCCACTTGTGATTGCCAAAGCTACATTTGTTTATAGTTTCTTGAAGATAAAGAAGTAACTTTGGACTGAGAGAATTACTGCATTTCCCTGAGAAATAACAGTGTTTGGGATTCTCTTGGAGGATCTGGAAAGCACAGCAGACACATTCCTACCTGTAGGGTATTTCCTGCCTAATTGTACAGTCCCGAGAGACCTCAGTAGGCTCCAAAAGGTCCCTAGTAAACTTTGCTCTTGATTTGGGAAAAATTTAGCTGTGAGGATGATTTGCATAAATGCAATTTGTCCATGTAGAGTCTAACCTGCAACCAGAGTGTCTTTGCCAGGTTACGGCCTTTCAGATGAGTCTAGTGGTTTGGGAAAAACTTAATGGTATGGAGTGTGTGAGCCTATAAGTCGCTCCCTGGTAAGCTGTGAAGTTTCTACAACCTCTTCCTGTCACACTGTTCTGTAGTTTTACGTAGAAAAAAATGTCAAAGTTTTGCAGGCCTTACACAGGACTCTTTGGGATCTAGCTTTTGCTACAATCATCTGTTCCTTCCTCTTTCCCAAGGTCCTTCTCAAAGACCAGCCATTCTGGCCTGGGTTCTTTTTTCTACCTTCACTGGACTGCAACCTCTTCGGTCTTTAGATTAAGTCCAGACCTTCTTCACACCTGTACCAAGCATGATCTTTGCACACACCCTAGCATCCAATGCCTATGCATTTACCAAGTGAAATTCAGCCTACCACTGGTCAAACATATAGGCAAGCCCCTGGCGGGGGAGGATGGAGATATTTCATAGTATCTGATTTCCTTTTTAAAACTGTATATATTATGAATTTATTCTCTTCCCCAGGGTTTTTAAAGGTGAAACTTGCAACAACATGGGAAAATGCCTAAAATACAACATCAAATTTCCTTCACTAGACAAAATTTCCTTCACTTATAGGAAGCTACTATTGAAAGTCATGTACAATGTTCAAAGACAATCAGTAAGAAATATTTCTTTTATGGAGTTCATAGGATGCTGCAAAACTGGCATACCTACAACCGAGGCATTTCTATCACACAGATTATAACAAGTAGTATGCAAGAGTGACTGCTTTTGCAAGTTTCTTGGAAATGCAATGGTAAATTAAGACCTTAAAGGTTAGGTAGAATTTAATAGAAAGATACAAATGATAGTGAATTTTGTAGGGGAAGCTTTAGAGTGGACAAAAATCTGTGTCAGGAGATATTTGTAACTAACGTAATCTAGCAAGAAGAATGGACATTATTAGGAAAGACAATGAAATTGAGAATGTCTGGAGGTCAGCCAAATAGCTCAGCAGACTAAAGTGCCTCAGGCAGGTGCAGGGGCTGGGGGTTTGATCCCCAGTCCTGCCACGCTAGCCCTGTCCCAGAGGCACACTGAGATGGCAATTGAGACTGGGTATGGTGGCAAGCACCTGTAATCCTAGCTCTTGGGAGGCTGTAAACAGGCAGATCACCATGAGTGAGACCCTAAACACCCTGTAGGCCCTTTCCTAAAATAAAAAAAAGAAAGAAATGGAGAATATCAGAGCCAAGTTATTTGATGGGTAAACAGCATCAGTACACACAAATGATTAATGAGACTCAGGAAACAAACCTGGTGGAGTTCACAGATGCGAATGTGATGTGGTGTTTATCTCTCTGTGCATAGATTATTTGATTTAGCAGAATATTTTCCAGTTCCAGCCATGCAGTTGCAAATAGTAGAATTTTCTTCTTTGCAGAGGTTGCATAATATTTTACCAAGAACTGGTATGACATCTTCTTATCCATTCATCTGTTGATGGACATTTAAGCTGATCCCTACCATGCCTACTGTGAATAATACCACAATAAATGTGTAAGTGCACAGTTCTTTCTGCCATACTGATTTCATTTTTGAAATTTCTTTCAGAGTGACAGTTATAAACCTATTGCATGTTGACACCAGAGTGATAATATTATCTTTTGTGATGCAGCTCCTAAAAAATTGTACTGGACAGTTGTGAGGAATAAAAATAGAAAAAAATTAAAAATTAATGTTACAATCAATGAAGTTTTGACCTCGTAAATTCTTGAAAGTTTATCAGGGTTTCAGATACATTCCTGGACCACAGTGTGAGAAGCACTGGACTAGGACAGGAGCTTTAAGAGGAAAAAAACAAAAATGATAAGCTTCAATTAGAACCCAAACTATTGAAGAAATGTTACTGTCTGGATAGTACATGATTTACTGGCATCTGTCTCCAGATGCTGGGCTTATATTATCTTAGTTGAAGCACAAGACAAGCTGCTGTGATGTCATCAAAGTAATACATTTCAAAATATACCTAATACATCTACTCCCCAAGCTGGTAGTATCATAAGAAGGGGTGTTTGGAAGGTGATTGTTTCAAGAGGGGGGGTAGGTGCCCTGACAAAAGAGACACAAGAGACCCTACTTGTCTATACCATCATATAAGGTCACAGTGAGAAAGTGCTATCTACAACCTGGGAAGCAAACCTTATCTGACACTGAACCTGCTGACAT